TTTCCAGCCTCTCAGTGTATGTTACAATGTAGACCGGTTCCCTTCCACTCAGCTAGACTTTGGGCCAACTTTAGAGCAGAAATGTCTGAGCTTGGAGGCTGTATGTTACACTTGGGTAAAGTGGGACAGGTTCAAGCTAGTGAAATTCATAAGCCAAGGGGGACAGGAAAAGTGTGAGCTACATCAGCGTACGCTCTTGTAGACTTTAATTCTTAGCCTCCCCTTTGAATCTGGTCTGCTGTCATGCTTCTATTATTGTAAATTAATTACATCAGGAATGCTGTATCATGGACCTAGAGACAACTTTGTAGACACTAAAAGGATGAAGGTCTCAGTGTTTAAAATTTCTCTGACTTATTTTTTCTTATATCCCTCATATGAAAACCCATGTGGAGACCATAGCAGACTGGAATGTTCACATTCCCTTGTAGATCTCTCTGCCACAAAACTTTCCTCATATTAAGTCTGCATTTCCCTTTCTTAATTTCAGACTGATCCTCTTGAGTTACACTTTGTTGGGCCACCTGAAAAAAAAAATTCCTTCACCGGTGTTTACAACCATGAGATCTTTCTATATACTGCTGGCATGTTCTCTCCACCCCCTGCCTTAGTCATCACTTACCCAAACTAGACTGATTTAGCTCTTAATCTCTCTTTCTAAATCAATCCCTGCAGCCCTCAGACTTGTTCTTCTCTAAACTCCTTTCAGGTTATAGGATAATAGAAAATACCCTGTGAGAATGGTAGAAGAGCCGCAAGAATGATTAAAGGATCAGAAAACATATAGACTCCAGGAACTCAATCCAGTTAGTTTAACAAAGAGAAGGTTAAAGGGTGACTTGATCACAGTCTGTAAGTACCTTCCTGGGGAGCAAATATTTGAGAATGGGCTCTTCAGTCTAGCAGAGAAAGGTCTAACATGATCCAGTGGTTGGAAGTTGAAGCTAGACACATTCAGACTGGAAATAAGGTGTAAATTTTTAACAGTGAGAGTAATTAACCAGTGGAATAATTTATCAAGGGTCATGGTGAATACTCCACTCACTGGCAATTTTAAAATCAAGATTGGATTTTTTTTCAAGATCTGCTCTAGGAATTATTTTGGGTGAATTCTATGGTCTGTGTTATTCAGGAGGTCAGACTAGGCCCTTATGGCCTTGGAATCTGTGAATCAGACTAGGGGTCTGTCTGGCTCAGAATCCTGTCTCTGAAAGTATCTGATAATAGCTGTTTCAACGGACAAGGAGAGGACATATTCCATACAAATCCCTTATCCGGTTGTTAACCTCACTAACAATTGGCCTCAATATATTGTGGCGTTGAGTTCCACAGGCTAATTATGCCTTCTGTAATAAAGTGTTGTTTCCTTGTATAGGTTTTACTTTTGCTGCCATTCAGTTTAATTAAGCACCTGTTCTTATGTTGAGAGAAGGTAAGGAAAGGTACCCATTTTGCCTTCTCTCTGCCATACCTTACTATACATACCTTTATCATGTCCCCTCTTAAACTGAACAGGCCCAGTCTCTTCAATCTGTCCTCAAACAGATAGTTTTGCAAGCCTCTCATAATGTTCGTTGCTCATGTCTGATCCCCTTTACTTCTGCTCTATCTCTGTTTAGCTAAGATGACCAGAACTGAATACAGTATCCCAGGGGAACGTGTCCCACGGATTTACAGAACGGCATTGGAATATTTCCATTGTTCTCCATCCCATTCCTTATACATCCTGACTTTGTGTTTGCTTTTCAGACTTCAGCTGCACAGGGAGCAGATTTCTATCAAGTTGCCCAGGTCTCATTCCTGAGGGGTTACAACTATTTTAGAAACCAGTGAGGTGTGTGAGAGGTTCAATTTAATGTGGGTTCTAATGTACATTGTCTTGCATTTGTCAGCACCGAGGGTGAAATTCTGGCTCTGCTGAATTAAATGGCAAAACTCCCATAGACTACAGTGGGGCCAGGATTTTGCCTTGAATTTCATATGCCCCATACTGCCCATTCACCTAACTTTGTGAGTTCCCTCTGAAGTTCTTCACTGTCTTCTCCAGTCTTGACAACCCTAAATAATTCTATGTCATCTGTACCTCTTGCCCCCTCTCTGCTCACTCTCTTTCCAAGATCATTAATAACAACACTGGTTGGTGGATCCTTGAGACACCAATTGTTAATGTCTTTCTGGTATTGTAGCCAGAATTGAATGCAATATCTCACACAAGGTCCCACTAGAGCCACATGGAAAGGTTTTGGTCACCTTCTTGTCAGTATGGCCTGTATGTGCAGCCTCAAAATTGCAGTGTACTTCTTTGTAGACGTATCACACTGCAGTTGTGTCACATTTTCTGTCTAATGTTTTTGCCTCAATGGGTGTATCCTGTCACACCTCTGGAAATGATTTAATAGAAGATGAGAAAATGAGCCTTGTGCAATGTACCTGAGTTGACCTAACTTTCTAGTGTAGACCATCCCTGAGAGAAAGTGATGGATATGTGAGTGTTGTCAATTGTTTTGTAGATATTTGGGGCATGCAGTGACGTTGTCTTTGTGCGGGAGTGGGAGCTGGCGTATAGGGAGGTGACATCCATGAGAGAGGTTGTTAATATTGCAGTTTCTGGAGGAAGCCTATTGTGTCCAGAGGAATCTGGTCATTTGTGTGGTGAGAAAGTCTGGGATACACACCCTAACGCACATTTTCCAAACAAAGACACTCCACCAGAGAAGTAGATCACATCATGGAATGGCCACCCAAATACCCCAGGAGAACCTGCTTCTATACAGAAAAAGCCAAACCCAACCGCATACCCCTAGTTGTCACCTATCATCCCACTCTGGCACAATGATACCTGGGGTATCATTAAACAACAACCTTCATGGGTGACGGGCAAAAACCCCTTGGGGAAGCTAGCCCCACCAACCCCACCTTCTGCCTGAGGCCCCATCCCTACCCCCCCATCCACCCACTGGAGCCCCGAGGGCCCCCACAATCACAGCTGGAGAAGCCCCGGCCAAACTGCCCCAACCTCCAGGGCTGCACCAGGTCACCACAAGCCGTGCTGGGCAGCCCACGCCCCGAGCTATTCGAGGCAGCTTGCTGGCCCGAGTCCCAAGCCACTCTGGGACATCCGTGAGCCTGAGCCCTGGGCCACCCGCTGGAGCTGAGCCTCCGCTGGCTTCCAGGGAGAGGGGAGTAAGGAGGGACGTGGTGGGGTCTCATGGAACAGCGGGGAGTGAAAGGTTGCAGCTGACGGGTGAGGAGGGATGCCTCGAGCCACGGGAACCTCTGTGTGGGGCGCTGGTGTGAAGGAGAAGAGGTACAGAGGTTTTGGTAGTGCCCAGGAGTCTGGGGGTGGCTGCACCAGGGGAGGCTTAGCGTCCCCTGGCCTATTATACCCTCCGCCCATAACAACCATATTCAATGGTGACCACATCCTGAAATAAATCTTTCCCAAAGCTCTGCTACTGGCTTTCAGACAACCCCCCAACCCCACCAAGCTCATCATCAGAAGCAAGCTCCCCACAGACCAGGACACACCCACTCAAAGCAGCACCAGATCCTGCCAGAACAGATGCAAACCTGCAGATATTTTTCCACTTGTTTTGATCATCATACACCCCACAACCAGAGGTGGATTAATTTTTATTGGGACCCTGGGTTCAAACAACATTTGGGCCCCCAGAACTGGACGGGGAGGGGAGGGTTAGGCCAAGGGGGCCATGGCCCTCCCACTTTTCAAAGTTCTGCTATGAAACAGGGAGAACAGGAGTTCCCAATATCCCTTCTTTATCCCGTTCAGTATTTTAGCTGCTTTTCTCATGTCCTCTCTTCTTCATCTCCTTTCTAAAGTAACAATGCCAATCTTTTCAATCTCTCTTCATAGGAGAGTTTTTTCAGGCCCTTTATCATACTCGTTGCCCATCTCTGACCCCCCTCTACATCTACAGTATACTGTGTGAAATGGGTTGGCTGGGACTGCACACACGATTGTACATGAGGCCACACCATTGATTTACATAAGGGAATTATAATATTTTCTATGTTCTCATTGCCATCCCTTACGCTCTTCACATCTTGTTTATAATTCCAGTTGCCCATTGAGCAGGGGTCTCCATTGAGCTGTCTTCAGAGCTGCCCAGATCCCTTTCCTGAGTTGATACAGTTCATTTAGAACCCTGGAAAATGTATGAGAAGTTTAAGATTTTTCTTCCAGTGTTCATTGCTTTGCATTTATCAACACCGAACCACTTGTCTTTGTGTTACCCATTGCCCTCACTTGTTTAGGTCCCTCTGAAGTTCCTCACAGTCCTCCCTGGAGTTAACTCACCTAATTAACATGGTACCCTTACCCTGCCTACTCCCATCCCACCCTCTCCGCATCATGGCTTTCTTGGTTTATTCCTCCCACAGGGGATCAACTTCTTATCTGCCTTTGCACAAGTACATGTGAGAGTGGGGGCACAAGAAGCCTTTTCTCCTCTTGTAAGGAGAGCACAGGAGCAGTCCCAGTGAGCAGGGACAGCTAAGCCCTTGCTCCCTCCCCGGTACAAGCCATTGGAAAGGGGCAGAGAGATGTCAGGGCTATGTCCTCCCTTCCACACTGGCTAGTGGACCAGGGCTGGCACCAAGCAGAGCAATCTGTGCCACCCTGATGGAGCTCTCCATTTGCTCCACACAGAATGATAGTCTTGCACTGCCAGGTGCTGGGGCTGTCCAGTGAGGGGAGATGTCCTGGCTGAACGGGAGGTACTAAGCCCTTTGCATATGGCAGCCAGTGGAGGGATGAAGGGCCACAAGCAGGTTAGTGCTGCAGGTGACAGATTGTCTTGTCCTGCTCTCTCCCCCCAGGTTATGCCACTCTCCAGGTTTGCTGGATGCCTGCACGTAAAAGAGAAAGGTTGAGATTTGCCAAGACTTGGCATGACGGTCCTTAGGTCCTGAAACAACATGGCAGCTGGAGAGTCCCCTCCCACAGGAGGCGTCTTCATCAACCTGCAGCAGGTGAGGTGGAAATCCAACAGCAATGACTCTGGCCCTTCCTAGGGAGTCCTGTTCTTGCAGGACTGTGTGCAGAGATCTGCCTGTGCTCTGGCCAGGGCATTCACAGCATCTGGGGATGTCCTTGTTGGTCTCCCAAGTGTCCCATCTGCTCTGGCCTCAGGCCTCGGTGAGAGCGGGAAGTCAAAGTGGAATAGACAGTGCTCCGGTTGGGCTTTGCTTCAATGGCAGCTGTATAGCTGAAGCCTTTTGAAAGTCACGTTCACACTCCCTGCCCTATAGGGCTGGCTGAAGTTAATGACTGTGACAGACAGACGGATGGGCAGAGTCTGATCTGGAGAACGGAGGGACTCTCTCATTGTAACCATCACTTGCGAAGAGCGTTTATATGTGGGGTCTTGCACTTCTCAGCAGTACCACAGCTTTTCTCCCCACTTCTCCCTCTGTCCCCATCCTCCTCCCGCCTCATGGTCCTTCTGGGCGAGGAGAACTGGACACAGCTGGCTGCAGCACCCACCAGAGCCAGTGGGGGCGCTGCGCAGCCCCACCAGGTGCTCCTTCTTTCAGGACAGAGTAGAGGGCCTGCTGGGTCTGGTTTCTATGGGGCGTAGTCCAGCTGGGGTTCCCAAATCCCTGGGCAGGCCACAGCAGGGTAGCAGCTCCTGGCAGCTTGCAGCCGTGCTCCCAGCTGGGCTGCTGGGGCTGAGAGCTGGCTGGGAGTGCGTGGGGGAGGTTGGCTGAGGCCATTTTGCTGCCTATTCCCGTTCAGCACAGACAGATCTGTCACGGTTGGGCCTCCTGTTACCATGGAAACAGAGGAGTCCACACCAGCTCAGCACTGGCATTTCGAGCTGTGCTGATGGAAAATTTTACCAGCTGCTTCTGCTTAGGAAGTGGAAGGGACAGAAGTGCCGGAGCTTAGCGTTCGAGCTGGTGTGGTAGCCTCTGTGCAAGGACAAATCAGACCATGGTCCTGTGCATCCTGAGATAAAGGGGCAGCAGGTGAGAGATCCCTAAGGAAACCAGCAGGGTTCAGACTTCCCAGAGACTGGGGCACAGGCCCCATCAGAGATGGGAGAGTGTGGGGCAGCCAGTGTCGTAGGAGCAACTGTGGGGAGTGTGACGAAGTGGGACTGTTCTTAATGTTTCCTCTGAATAGTGGGGGGGGGGGGGTGCCTCAGTTTCCCCTAGGCAGTTCTTAAGTATCTAGGGGGTGGAGTAAGGGTGTATGATCATTGCAGAGCCCTAGAGGGCAGGTGTGTGCAGGGATCTGGACACAGAGAATGGCCGACACCCTGTTTCCTGGCAACTGATGACCTGGGCCCTTCCCCTCTGCAAGGTGAGAGCTGAAGGGTTGGAGAACAAAGGAATCAGGTGACCACCTGGCCCGGGAAAGGAACAAAGCCCAGAGGAGGAGGGGCTGGAGGGGGTTTTCAGTTTGGGGCTGGCTGGGACATGGAGTGAAGTGCAGACGTGGTTGTCTGGCTCACTGCCCCCCAAAATGGACCCAGCTGAGGGGTCCCGTTCTCTGCACCTGCAAGCTCTGTTTTAGACCATGTTCCTGTCGTCTAATAAACCTTCTGTTTTACTGGCTGGCTGAGAGTCACGTCTGACTGCGGAGTTGGGGTGCAGGACCCTCTGGCTTCCCCAGGACCCCGCCTGGGCGGACTCGCTGGGGGAAGCGCACGGAGGGGCAGAGGATGCTGAATGCTCCGAGGTCAGACCCAGGAAGGTGGAAGCTGTGTGAGCTGTGTGTCCTGAAGACAGGCTGCTCACAGAAAGGCGACTGCCCCAGAGTCCTGACTGGCTTCATGGGGAGCAGTTCCAGAGCATCGCCCAGGGACTCCGTGACAACTGGTGGCAGCGGTGGGATGTACTGCACCCCGTGGATGGCGCTTCCTGCAGTAAGTGACTGGGGAGCAGTAACACGAAGGGGGATTGCCGAGGACCAGGCCTGCTGAAGGCTCAGAGAGGAGCGGTTTCGAGGGGCGGTTAACCCCTGGGAGTGTGTGACCAGTGAGAAGGACTGTGCAGTAATGGGGTCCCCCTGGGGACTGCAGTGAGCAGTCTCAGGGGCGGAGGAGTCTGCAGCTCGACCCTGGCAAAGAGGTGGTGACCTCGAGAAGGGCTGGCACACTAGGGGTTCTCCCTGGAAACCGTGGGGAGCTGAGAACACACGGGCCTGTGAGTCCACAACAACTTGGGAGGAGCGGAGTGATGGCCTGTCACTGTCTCCTTAAGAAGGACATTGTCACCCTGTGCAAAAAGAGAGGGTTGAGCGTTGGAAAGTTCACCAAAGCAGAGTTAATCGTGCAGCTGGAGGAGAATGACCGCTCTAAGGGACAGATTCCTGACCCCAACTGGGGCTATAGCAGGATCTGGGAGCAGCTGGAGCGGGAGCCAGGCATCGCCAAGACTCCTGTCCCCGACCAGACGGGGGTCTTCACGATCGGGTTCCCCATCGGGGGATCGAGACGGACGGGATTGGAGCTGAGTCCGAGAGCAAGAGGACCGTGGGAGACAGCGAGAGCCCGAGAAAGAGCTGCAGAAGCAGCAGCAGCATGAACTGGCGGTGGTGGGGCGGAGAGGCCTAGGGGACCTCCCCGGGGTGAGTGGGGATAGATCCCGGGGGCCAGTTCCGCAGGGAACCTCGAGACTAAATTGCTGCCCCTGGTTAAGGAGGGGGGGGGGGTATGGATGCCCACCTCACTGCCTTTGAGCAGGCTGGCGATTTGAACCAGGGGGACCCTGCGGAAAAGCCCCGGTGTCTAGCTCCCTTGCTGGGTCCCAAGGCCATAGACTCCGTCGGCCAGATAGTTGGGGATGTGGACAGGCTCCCACTCCTGACCCCAACCTATATGTCTGTGTGGAGTTTCCTGGGGCCAGGCCCCTCGGACCTCCAGTGGGAGCAGAAGGTGATGGTCAATGGGGAGACATTCTTGGGGTGGCCAAAGGGCATGGGCTGCATAAACCTTCCCACATGCGGCCTGCGAGTGCTATCGACCACCCCTGACCTAAGGGAGGGGGCGAAACTGGAAGGGCCTGGTGTAACTCCTACCAAGGAATGGGAGAGATGCTGGGGCATCCATGGGAACGTTGGTGGCTTCGAACTTCCCCAGGTCACCGGCTAAAGTGACCCCGCTCAGTTCGATCTCGAAGGGGGGAGAGATGTGACGAAGTGGGACTGTTCTTAATGTTTCCTCTGAATAGTGGGGGGGGGGGTGCCTCAGTTTCCCCTAGGCAGTTCTTAAGTATCTAGGGGGTGGAGTAAGGGTGTATGATCATTGCAGAGCCCTAGAGGGCAGGTGTGTGCAGGGGTCTGGACACAGAGAATGGCCGACACCCTGTTTCCTGGCAACTGATGACCTGGGCCCTTCCCCTCTGCAAGGTGAGAGCTGAAGGGTTGGAGAACAAAGGAATCAGGTGACCACCTGGCCCGGGAAAGGAACAAAGCCCAGAGGAGGAGGGGCTGGAGGGGGTTTTCAGTTTGGGGCTGGCTGGGACATGGAGTGAAGTGCAGACGTGGTTGTCTGGCTCACTGCCCCCCAAAATGGACCCAGCTGAGGGGTCCCGTTCTCTGCACCTGCAAGCTCTGTTTTAGACCATGTTCCTGTCGTCTAATAAACCTTCTGTTTTACTGGCTGGCTGAGAGTCACGTCTGACTGCGAAGTTGGGGTGCAGGACCCTCTGGCTTCCCCAGGACCCCGCCTGGGCGGACTCGCTGGGGGAAGCGCACGGAGGGGCAGAGGATGCTGAATGCTCCGAGGTCAGACCCAGGAAGGTGGAAGCTGTGTGAGCTGTGTGTCCTGAAGACAGGCTGCTCACAGAAAGGCGACTGCCCCAGAGTCCTGACTGGCTTCATGGGGAGCAGTTCCAGAGCATCGCCCAGGGACTCCGTGACAGGGAGGAAGCCTCACCTCTGAGTTCCTCACTCACTTGGGCCCTGAGAGTGGGTTTGAGACATTCGCCCCTCATCGCTAGTGAAAGAGGAAGCTCCAGGACACGGGACCACCCTCTTTACATACCTAAGGGAGCAGCAGGAACGTAGGGTGAAAACTAGCACAGACTCTGCAGCAGCCTGAACTGAGCAAGGGGAAGTTCCAGCTAAAAACAGGATATGTTCCTTATCTGTGAGAGCAGTTAGGCAATGGGATGGACCACTCACGAGTAGGTGATGTAAGCGCCTTCCCTGGGGAGAGACTGGAGCAGCACAGAGAAGGTACTAGTGGCTGTGATGATGAGGAGAGGACATTGGGATGTGGGGGTCCAGGTTTGGGGGCCCTGCTGTTTTTTTTTTTTCTGGCTCTCAGTTCAGATTGGGGTTCTGCCCCCAGGTACTTCCATAGTCTGCATCACTGTGGTGTGAGTAGCTCTACAGTATTTGCTGCTTCGTGATAGCTCCTGAGCTCATGTGAAGTGGTGCGCCATTCGTGGGGCTCTGAGATCTGGAGAGCTATACAGGGTTTGATTGCTATCTGGCGATTTCTGTGCAGGACAGCGATCATGCTGAGGAGGCCTTTCCCCCCGCCGAGGACGATGAGGATTTGGATAAGACCTTGTCAATCAAGAGGTTTGGGGACCTGATAAGCAAGTCAGCATCAAGGGATCTGGAAGAGCAGAGACGCAACTACAGTGAGAGAGATTTTGAACGTATGTTGGTTTGAACACTCTGCCTGCCTGCGTGCCCACAAATGTCCATCAGACCAAACCCCTCTATACCCTTGGGGCTCAGTCAGGTCTGCAGATCTCAGTAATATGCTGTTTACCTCCTTCTTGCAGACTGTTAAGGAAGTGGTTGCATATACTCAGTCTCAGCCACATGCCTGTAGCCCCCATTCTGTCAGTTGCTTTTTATTGTCACCTCTTGTGTAGAGATTTAGCCACTTTCAGTCCACAGGGTAGCATTCCTCGGAGGCTGGGAATCCACTCGCCTCCTCACCCTGGCAGCTGGGAACCATCACAGCAATTTCCACATAACTTAAGTTTTCTGTTTAAAAACATTTCTTGACCTTATGTCTGTGAAGAAACTTCCAAATGTGGCCTGAAGCCAAGCTGCCTTCCTGAATCTGCAGACAGACAGCTCCAGAGCTCCTGGTGCCACAGGTTCAGGCATCCCTATAGGTTTCTCAATAGCAGCCATGAAACAGACCAGAGTCATGTTCTATGCAGTGGTGGTGTGGCCACCTCAGTCTCAGGGTATTAGAGCGACAAGGTGGGTGAGGCAGTATCTTCTACTGGACCAACTGCAGTTAGTGAGAGACAACTTTTGTTGTTTCTCTCACCACCAGAAGTTGTTCCAATAAAAGATATTACCTCATCCACCTTGTCTCTCAGAATCATGTTAGTTTCATTCTACAGCTCCTTGGGGAACAGCAAGAGAGGCAGGCATGGGAGCTGTTCACAGAAGGACCAGCGCAGCAGAGACTGCCCTTAGCAGCCAAGGGTGAGGGACAGAGAGAGAAGCCAGTAGATTTAGTCTTCTGGTTAGCAAGTGTCTGGCAAATTTTCCAAGCTCTGGTGTTTCACTGCATGTCAATTTCAGTTTATTTTCCAGTATAGATTGTGTGAGACACAATCTCAAGTGTAAAAAGAAAAGGAGTACTTGTGGCACCTTAGAGACTAACCAATTTATTTGAGCATAAGCTTTCGTGAGTACTCACAAGTACTCCTTTTCTTTTTGCGAATACAGACTAACACGGCTGTTACTCTGAAATCTCAAGTGTGTTGTTAAATTTCACATATATCACACATGCTGCTTTCTGGTTGGCCACTCCTTTGGAATTTCTGTCAAACAAGCACTGATGTTTCTGTTTGTTATAAACCACCCCCAACAGCCACTTATTGCTCATGCTTCCATTTCCTCCTAGATTCCATATTTTCAAAACATCAGTGTACACTATCACCTGCACATGGAGTTGCTGAGCACCAACAATTCTGCCTTAAGATGACAGATTGTAACACCTGTCTAGATTAGTGATCGAACTTCCACTCAAAAGTATCACCTGCATACACAAGTGTTAGTGCTGGAGGTGTTTGCTTGTGCCGCCAGGACAGAGGTTTCTCTGAAAAACTGACTCTAGATTTTTAGTGACTTTTCTCTTCATATTGTCCAATATTTTGCTGGAGAGAGAAGGGAGCCTTATTGAGCGGTGATTGAGATGCTCATTATTCCTCTTTTTCCTTTTTTGGAAGTCAGGACCACATTTGTTTTCGTCTAGTCTTCTGATGTTTCTCCACATTATCCAGGACTCTTCAGAACTAATTATCAGTGGGCCAGTAAATTCATGGGCTAATTCTCTTAAGATCCTAGAGTGACATCATCTGAGCCCATGGAATTGTTTATGTTCAGATTTTACAAGTGTCCCCTGCTCCTTGTCAGGAGCCATTATACAGGCTCTTCCTTCCAGATGGATTGTTCAAACTCCTTTTCTATATTTATCTTGTTGAAGACAGATTTAAAAGGAGCGGTTGAGTATCTGAGCCACGACTGAGGCAGAGCTTTCCAGGTGGACAGGAGATGCCGTGGAGCAGGGAAGGAGAGGATGTGCTGGGTGCACACAAGGGGGCAGAGGGACAAGTTGGGAGGAGGTACCGTGGTGCAGGTGAATCATGGGAGAATGTGCAAATTCTGAATTTAGAAGAGAGATGTGGTGGGTTTAGCTGAGATGTACTTTCTTGTTACGAATGCTCAATCCTGACTTAGAAGACACAGTGCAGAGGTCAAGCATAGAGTTCTTCTCTTCTGGTGGCCAGGCAGGCATATGTCAGCCCTTTCTCAGCACTGTTTTGGGCTAGAGATTGCAGAATCTCTTGCCCTTGGCAGGCAGCTCAAGCCTTCCGTCAGGTCAGTGTTCAGGTTCTTTGTCTCAGCTTAACATGCCACATGATGACCCATTCCAGTTGGAGCTGCAAAGGGAAGAGACTGGGCCTGCACCTTTGTTTGTGCCTTTATGCTGGTGAAAGAGTCCTGGTAGGCACTGGTGGGTTTAGTTCTGTCAAGTTTTTTTCCCCCACTTAATATGTCTTAAGCAATTCAGGTCTTGCACACTCTGGAGACTCTGTCATGAGCAGAAAAGAGCCAAGGGAGCGGAAGCTGGAGCAGCAGCACAAGGGGGATTTTCGATCAGCCAGCCTGTGTAAAGTGCTTTGGTCCCAGTTTGGTTTTGGGCATGAATATTTAACTCAAATGGCTAGTGAATGTTTTGGGTGAAGGAAACTTTTGTTAAAGAGTAAGAGCTCTGCTCCTTCAATTGACGTCTGAGAGCTCATAATACACTCCCTGAGGCACACTTCTGCCCTGCCAAAAAGCTTCTCCCAGTAGAATCAGGGCAGGGCAGACTCAACAATCCCGATATTTCTAGGGGCAAAACCAAGCCCCCAAAACAAACAAAATCCCCCCTGCCCCCGCCCCCCCAAAACCAGCCCACCACCACAAAATGCTTGAAAAACGAAACCAAAGCAAAACTGGAACAACAGTGAACCTGGCCGTCTTGTGTGCAGAGGAGGGGGTGCAAGCTCTCATTTTAAATCGTCCTTTGCAGGCCACTTTTCAATCCAAGTAGATTTGATTAGCTTATTATAGGAAAGAGGGAAAAGCCTGAAATAAAAGTGGATTACAAAATATGTGGCAGAAAGAGCTGCCGTGTAGACCCAAAGCTGCAAACCCTGAGGAGCCACCAGTGTTTTGGTAACTTCCAGTTGCCTCTCTGGCTGTCTCAATGTCTCTGCTTCACATCTCACAGAGTCAGTGTGTCTCCAGCAGGTTGTCTCGGGGAGGCTCTCTGTCTCCAGTAAAACCCTGCAAAAGCAGCTTTCTTTCCTTTCATGTGGAATGATGCATTTATGCTTCCTCATACACCAGTGGGGTGACAATTAGTGTTTTTGAGGCAATGCACAATAATGCCGCTAATTTCTTCTTGTTGCACAGTCCCTGAGACTCCTGTGGCTTCACACCCAGCAAATTCCTTTCTGCGGATTGGTTTAAACTAAAGGCTTGTCTCTTCTTGTTTTAGATCCAGATTTTTAAAACGTAGCCTTCCATTGGTACCTGCAGGCCCAAGTCCTGTCACACAGGTGACTAAGGACCGGATTTGCACCTGCAGTCAGGTACTGGGCCGCCTACATGGTTTTGCTCTCACAGTGCACCTGGAATTAGAAGACCCTAAAAGATGTGGCCTCTAGCATTTTTGTGGACAGAGGAGGGCGGTTTGTAAAAGGTCCACCCCATTTCTACCAGGCTAAGGAGCACGGGCAGCCTGTTGGCTTTGAAGCTCTCAGTAGCCCACTGGCTGCCTTTCAGGAGCGCCTTTCCCTGCTGTGCAGCGCACTGAGCAGAGACAGCTCTGTCATAGAGTGTAATGATGGGCTAGTGAGGGTTACCAAGCAGGCCTGGCTCATATTCTTGCCACATAGCTAAGGAGGTTTGCTCTGGCCCTGTGGGCTGCTCCCCCGGCCCTTGATCCCCCCCGTCCATGCAGTTTCCTGGAGTGGTTTCTGAGGTGCCTGGTCGTGTTTGTCCCTGCTGCCTCCTGCCCCTGACTCTCTCTGTCTTTCTCAGTCCATCGCCAAACCTCCCACCATATCCACCATCCCCTTTCCACCCACCTGCCTCCTGCCCTCAAGTTCCAGAAGAGGTTCCCCCATG